AAGCGTAACAAAGCCTGGTCAAAGCGGGATCAAAGCGTGAGGAACCTATCAGAGCTGTGTTAAGCTTTCCTACCCTTTGGATCAAGCTTTTCTGAGCATTGTTACGGTTTGTTAGGCTTTGATACGCTCTCGGAGCTTTAATCAATTCGTAACAGAGCGCCCAAAATTTTTAAACAGTTTAAAAATTTTTGTCGCTCTTGCCGAATATCCCGCTTTACTCCGAGCTTTTCTGCGACCTATTACGACCCCGACGCTTTAATCAAGCTTTGTTACGCTTTGGTGCCGCTTTACAAGCCGCTTTAAAGCGCCATCGTGTTCTCGAGTCAAAGATGCAATGGTTTTATGGATCTACTGCATCTTTATATAGTTATTGGATCAAAAGTGGCATGAAATCGGCGATCTCGACATTTTCCAATGCGTGACAGAGCTTAACAGAGCGTAACAATGCACAACAGAGCTTGGTAATCGTATCAGAGCCTGATTTAAAGCGTCATTATCGAATCAAAGCGTAATAATGCTTATCAAAGCTTATCAAAGCGTGATTTCAAGCGTAACAAAGCCTGGTCAAAGCGGGATCAAAGCGTGAGGAACCTATCAGAGCTGTGTTAAGCTTTCCTACCCTTTGGATCAAGCTTTTCTGAGCATTGTTACGGTTTGTTAGGCTTTGATACGCTCTCGGAGCTTTAATCAATTCGTAACAGAGCGCCCAAAATTTTTAAACAGTTTAAAAAATTTTGTCGCTCTTGCCGAATATCCCGCTTTACTCCGAGCTTTTCTGCGACCTATTACGACCCCGACGCTTTAATCAAGCTTTGTTACGCTTTGGTGCCGCTTTACAAGCCGCTTTAAAGCGCCATCAAAGCGCCGTTGGTATGAACAAAAATGCCGGCGCTTTGCTCGCCGATTTAAAGCGTGGCATTCGCCGTTGGTGTGAACGTAGCTTAAAGTGTGCGCCAAAATTTAAAACTGCGCAGGCGCAGCGCTCTCGCTAACCTATATAAAGAGATTACAGGGTACAGGCTTCAGAGGTAAGCCAGGAAGGTGTACAACTATCGTCCCGTGTTGATTTCCCGTAAAATCGTAACCAGGCAAGTTTCAACATTGGAATTGAAAATAACTATTAGATATGCTTTGTAGATGTTTATATATGAAGGTATTAAGTGTATGCATCAATCAAATGGCTCATTTTGAACATATAAAAAGTATTTGTGTTTTGTTTCCCAGGGAATTGTATTCCTATGTAGTACACACATAAATAGTGTACATTATGTTGTACTTGAATAGCCTGGCTTATATAATATTGAAGGGCATGCTAATTGTACACACGAGTACTGTACATGCATGAAGGCCTAATATTGATATTGCTTGCATACCTAAGTAAAAAATAAACTCTTCTAATCCCCTAATGTAAACACGGCGGTATACGTAGCCCGATTTATCGGGGGCTTTAAGAGCGGTGAAAAGAGATCTGAGAGGAATATCGCACTAGAATCTTAATCAGCGGATGTCTGCAGTGAACACTGCACATCTCTAGCCACACACTTCAACGTCCTCAAAGAGCAATATCGACCTATACGGTCCACCAGGATAACGCGCCCCTGCTCACAGATCCTCTATTCTCCTAAATACAATAACAGAGATTGGCATGGAAGCAATGCCCCAGGCAGCATATTTCCCAGATAAGGCCCCACTTGATTTTTTGTATTTGCCCCAGTGAAAAGGGATCTGAGAGGAATATCGCACCAGAATCTCAATCAGCTGATGTCTGCAAAGAACACCTCCCTAGCCACACACTCTAAGGGTGGCTTCAAAAGTTTGTACCACGAGTGGGTCGCCAGACGGCAACTGTGCATTGACGCTAATGGTGCCTGCCTATTTTGAGCACCTCATGAAGTTAATATGGATCATGAAGTGACTCTGGAATGGATTATTTATAACTGCACTGCTATTATCGGGGCTAGAAGGGCCGGGAAAGTCAGGATAATGGGTCAATCGGGGTCATTCTGGGTCAATCAGGGTCAATCTGACGCAATCTGAGACAATCTGGGACAATCAGGCACAATCAGGGAGCGATGCGGGAGCCGGCGGCCAATTGGCACGCTCGAATCGATAACGTTTACTTCATTTAAGATAACAAATTCCACCATCTGAAGATAACAAATTTCACCATTTATGATTTTTTCAACATTTTAAAGATAAGACGATATACTATATAATGGCTGAGTTTTAGACAGGTCTGCCTAATCACGTCATCTGCAAGAAAAACAGGTAAGTTGAAAATATATTTCAAAACTTAAGGTGCTATTCTAGGCCTGCATAAGGGATATAAAAATTGGATGGAAAGCTGAGGAGCTAAGACATCCGCCCTACTGAGTTATGTAGAGCCATTGATGAATACGACTGTTAACCACCCGCTTAAATATACTTATTAGGAGCTACTTGGGCTGGAGAATATGTCACTGATTGAGGAGACTGAAACGCGATCGAGTCTCGAAATACGAGCCTAAAAATGCTTTTAACCTTAAATTAGAAGGAAAGAAAATTAAAATCCGTTCGTCCGTTTAACATGGCAAATCCCATTGGCGCTGGGAATCGTCAGAAATTAGGGGACCAAAAAATATGTTACAGTCGAATTAGGGGACTCAAAAGGGCCCTTCAAAAGCTATTTCAGACCAGCATTTAGAGACCGAAAAGCATGTGTGTGAGAGGTCTCCACGTCTATGGCATACAGATGAACTTAGTTGTTTAAAGGAGCCGAGCTCCTTTAAACAACTCGCGTACCGTACAGAATCCGAGCTGTATACTAGAGTATGCCCCCAGTAAGCCAGTAAGCAGCAGCATTATCGGGGAGAAACAAAATGACACAAAAAACGCAGGTATTGATGTATACATGTAGGACAGGATGTTTCATGGTTGGTGCAGATTTGAAAAGATGGGGCCAAGGTGATGGATTATTAGTATGCAAATTTTGTAATTCAGGGATTGATGATCTTTCCCACCGCTTACTGTTATGTCCATATTTCACCTCCCATCGTTCTGTCTTATTTTCTAACTTAAAGAGTGCACTTGAAGGCAATAATGAACATGTTTTTAACCATTTTATATCTCTTAATGTTCAGAGCAAATTACAATGGCTACTGGGCAATGTAGTGTTTATGGGCACGAGATTGAAGTTTTAGTAGATAGAAGTATCAATTTTTATCTAATGCTTTTGTTTCACCCTAATCTCAATGATACAACCATGGGCTTTCAACTAGAAGGGTAGGCAACTTCCCATATTTCATACATAAACATTGCCATGGGTTTTCAAAATTGGAGAATGTACACATTCCAAGAAAATCTTATTTTGTACTTTTTATTGATGATTAAAAGAAATAACTCAAAAATAAAAACGTGATCTTCTACATACATCTTGATAATTTAATAAAAATTGGAATTCATCATAATTATGACAATACAGAAAGTGAACATTCTCCCACAAATTATGTTTTTATTGGAATGTGTTCTTGAATAATTACCCACAATGCAATGCTCAAAGAGAACATCTTGATAACTCTTATTCTTATTGGTCTCTTTTGTTTACTTTTATATGATATTGAATATATTTTATGCTTAAATCATATTAAAAATTGATTTTTATTCAAAATAATACTAAAACATATACATTTATCTAATACTTTTTGCAATATTGCCATAAAAGGGAAGCATGTCATTGCTCATTTTGAAGGTCTCATGTTATTACATAGAGTTGCATACCCTTCTAGTTGAAAGCCCATGATACAACAAAATGAATATGTTTTGTATTTTATGTGCATTTTTGTAAGAGCTCCCAGTATTGGTGTGCCACCGTTTTAAAGATGTAATAAATATATTGCTATAAACTATGTTATCCCCTTTAGAAACTCCCGCTCACTGGCGGATTAGGGGGGGGGGGGCTGGGGGCTCGCTTGGGTGGACCCAGAAAAAAATTGAGCTCCAAAAACATTTTGGGCCAAAAAGGGCCTTAAGGCCCCAAAAAGTGGACCTTTTTGGTCATTACTGGGCCTCAAAATTTCAACTTTTCGGTTTTAGGGGACCAAATTCCCCCCCTGTTAGTTCCCAGATGCGCCCCTGCCGCTAGTGCAATTAGCCTAGGAACTCTAGGGTCAAAGCATATTTCAAAAGTGTCATCCGTCCAACTTCATTCTGTTACTTCTGCTTTAGTGAAAAAAAGAATCAACATAAAATGTTGTGTATATTTAACATCTAATTTATTTTAATACTTAAAAAGGACAACTCTACAGAATAGTATAGCCACGCTTCAAGACAATTAAGCTTTGAAATAAGGATCTCTCCATATTTGAACGTATCAGTTTCATTATAACTTGCCATAGCCCCATCGTTCAAGCAAATTATACATGAAATCCTCAAAAGGATATTTCTGTGTTTTTCACTTCGAAACTGCCATCTATATCAAGTTTTGCTATGGGCCTAAAAGGTGAATGAGGCTACAATTCGATTCTACTGTTTATATGTATAATACACCCCTCCCTAACACACATGGTCATACTGATAAATTTTTGTCTAATATAGTGTTTTTGTAAAAATATATGACAAGATAAACATCTTTTGCAAATATGTACATTTTTACATTTAATCATGTGACTGCTTGTCAAAGTATATCTATCTATGCCTTTGAGCATGTCCTTCACAAATATCAATTTTTGATAATATCAATATTTATGTTCTCAATATCTGATGGATCGTCATTCAAACCATGCTGATAACAACTGCAAGTGATAAGTGTCAAGTTGCAGCCTGAAAATCCATTACAGTAGAATCTCTTTATAAGTGAACACCTTTAAGTGTGAACACATTCTGTTTACTGTTTCATGCCATATTGCAACACCATATTATTTACACTACAGTAAAAACTCTGTATAGGCGAACACCTTTAAGTGTGAACACATTCTGTTTACTGTTTCTACACCACACTGCAACACCATATTATTTACACTACAGTAAAAACTCTGTATAGGCGAACAACTTAAAGTGTGAACACTTTCTGTCCCATTTTGTGATGTCTCATAGTCTCCTATGTCATAAGACCCTCATTATATGAGGACCTCTATATGTGAACACTCCAATCCAATCTCAGCAGTCTCAAATGAATACAGGTTAAACTGTAATACAGATTCACACGATTGTTTCATCTTCATCTCTGCTTTTCTTTTTCTTATCTCCCTCATAGGCTGGGTTGTCAAGACCTCTGTGGCTTGGGGGTAGGGGGGTGGGGGTGCGCTCTCTGTGTATCATTACATCAATTGTCACCTGAAATGGAAAGTCTTGATTGACAAAATGAGAGGCTAAGAGAGAGATATGGAGAAAATTAGACAACGACTGATTGGACTTGATCAAAATTCTTACCATGATCTGTGTTTTTTTATAATCTTCTCCTTGTCTTCCATTGAGCAAAACAATTTTCTGGTCTAGATAGACAAAGGAAAGGCTTTTAGACAGTTATTTACCAAATCCAATTACATCCATCTAAAGACTTACTCATACTTCACTAAATCGTACCTGATTCTCCAATGGTATATGGTCCTGCCTCGTGTCACTGCTTGTGCTAGGTGACACCCTATTGCCTGAGCCAGAGCGTGGCTTCTCATGACTTGATGATGCCCTAGGGGGCTCAATAACATCTGCAAACTCAATCATAGCTTCCTGGACAGTCTCGTTGATTGACTCTTTGCTGCCATCTTTTAATGATTTTCTACTCTTGCTGCTAGGTACACCTGAAATTAGGAAAGAAATATACATTGTATGTACCACTTAAAGAAGTATTGTAGTGCTTACTTGGAACTGAATATGGTGGATTCATTGTTGAAAGGAAATAAATACTTTAGTTCCCAAAGGAAAATAAGTGTGTGACAGGAATTGAAAACAGTTAGATTAACTAAGCGTTCTGGCAAATATGAGTTTATTGTGTCACAAAAATTCAGTTTTAACCAAACTGATTTCTAAGTTGTCAAAAGGGTCTAATTTTGTGTTCACTATATCAGAAATACTGAAAGTCAACAATTTAAGTTGGCAAGGCCCCAATATTGCAAAACTGCAAAAACAAATTAGATGGTGGTAATAACAAACATAGTGGAAGCTTACCAGAATCTTTGCTATCTCGTTTTGCCCCATCATCTTTCCTGACAATCTCATCATCTAACTCATCATCTAATGTTGCTTCCAACAGTGTTTGGTCCTCAAGTACTTTATCTAAGAGAGTCTCAGCATCATCAATGATTGTGTCTTCAAATGGTGGAGCATCTTCATCGCTATCATCTGTGTCATCAGTGTCCTTGAAATCAAACATAAAGTTAGTTTTTAATTCTTTTCTATTTTTCCTCATTAGTAATTAGTTGTACCTAGCACAATTGTAAAACATTTTTTTTTTTTTTTTTTATTTTTTTTTTTATTTACATTTATTTCAACATAACATATTTACAAAACAAATACATTCAAAAATACATGCAATTTCTACAAATACATAGAACATTTTAATATATAGAGCTTCACCAAAAAACAACAACATATTTATGATATAAATTTTTTAATAAATTGATCTAAATAATGATTTACTTTTTCGTTTTCATTTACACAGTTTGCGTAAAACTTTAAATTGGATGCAATTTTTGATTTGAAGTTGACATTTTCATATTTATTCCTTTCTTCTGACAATTTTACCCATGTTGAATATATTGTGTAACCTATAATAGTAAGTATTAAATTTCTAAATGCTATAATATCACTTTCCATGCAATAAAAACCCAGAATAAAATGTTTCCAGAGTATTTTACATTTCAATATTTTTTCCACATCCTTCCATAGTGTTTCTACTAGCTTACATTCAAAAATAAGATGTTTTGCATTTTGAATTATATTACATTTTGAACAATTTTGGTTAATATTAGAGTTCCATTTACATATCTCACTTCCACATGCTAAAATGTTGTGAAGTAATTTAAAGTTGAATTCAGCATACTTTTTGTATTTCATGTTTGTTATTTTCAAGGAATATATTTTATCATAAAACGTTTTATCATGAGGAATGCTAAAGATATTACTCCAATGTTTTTCTAAAACATTTCGTTCTTGTTTACTTTTTATCAATATATCATATAGCATATTTGTTTTCATCTCTTCTAATTTAATCCATTTATCATTTCCTAAAAGGAAAGTTTTCCTATATTTTATGTTTGTGTATTTTACTTTTGTAGTATCATACTTATTCATCACATTTGTTATACAGGCTTTTATAAGAATGTATTCTATCATCCAATTTCTTTTGTTAACAAGTTTGTTTTTTATATAGTTTTCATTATAGAAGGTTCCATTTTCATCATAGAAATCTTTAACATATATAAATCCACTATTTATCCATTTTATGTTGTGTACCACTTCATTTTTAATTTTAAAAGATTCATTTAGCCAAAATATTTCTCCTATTAGATTTTGATCGTTTCTAGTTTTACATTTATTAAAAGCTAAGAAAATTCCTCTATAAAACAATGGCATAGGCAGTTTTGTATCTTTGGTAAAATGTGTTTTTATAAAATCATCAATTTTAAAACCACACTGTTTGATATAATATTTTGGAATATCAATCCATGATGTGTCATCATCTTGTATTCTTTTCACCCAACTTGCTTTTAATGACATTATCTTTGTTTCAACGTCTATTAAGCCCAAACCACCATTTTTAATTTTTAATATTGTAGTTTTTCTTTTGATTCTATCTTTCTTCCAAATAAAATTATAAATGATTGAATTTACTTTTTTGACAATTCTTTCGGGGACATCAAGGATAGAAAAGTTATATACTAGTTTTGAGATTCCTAATATATTGATAATCTGTACTTTACCAAATAAAGAAAGTTTTCTTTTTTTCCAAGATTCGAACAAATTCTAAGATTTTGGGGTTCCAATTTAGCTCTGCACATTTTTCTTTGTTATTGCCAATATAAATACCTAAGGTTTTAATTGGTTCATTTGTGAATTTAATATTTTCAAAGTATTCATCGGTTTGCTTTTTAAAATTACCTAGTGCTATGCCAATTGTTTTTTCTAGATTGAGACATAGACCACTTACTTCCGAAAATGTTTTTATTTCTGTTAATGCATGTGAGATTGATTCTTTGTTTTCTAAAATTAATGTCGTGTCATCTGCATGTTGAATCACCTTTGTTTCTTTTTTGCCATCAATACTAATACCTTTGATTAATTTATTATTTTCTATTTTATTATTCATGATTTCAACACATAAAATAAATAATAATGCAGAGATTGGGCATCCCTGGCGTATACCTCGTTCTATCTTTACTTCATTTGACAAAAAACCATTATTTTTTATTTTGAGAATTGGATTTGTATATAAAATTGTCACCCACTTAATAAACCTTTTGCCAAAATTCATTTTCTGAAGGACTTTGAACATAAAATTCCAATTAAGACTATCAAAGGCTTTTTTAAAATCTAGGCTAATTATCAATCCATTTCTATTCTCATTGTTTATAAGTTCTAAATAATCTATTAATAATCTGGCATTTGTTCCAATAAAGCGTTTTTCAAGGTATGCAGATTGATTTTTTCCAACAAGTTTTTTCACTAGGCTTTTTATTCTATTTGTTAATGTAAAAGCTATAATTTTGTAATCATAATTAGTAAGACTTATGGGACGGTAATTAGCAAGGAGTTGTCGATCTCCCTTTTTGAAAATTAAGTTCAAGATCGCAATTTTCATGGTTTCACATAATTCACCTTCTTGAAAAACTTCATTAATCATTTCCAAAAATATACTTTCCATATCTGACCAAAAATATTTGTAAAATTCAGGAGTTATCCCATCTAAACCAGGACTTTTATTCAATTTTAGATTTTTCACTGATGAGTTTACTTCAGATTTTGTTATATTTACTTCTAAACTATTTCTTTCACTTTCAGTTAAGGTGTAATTAAGTTCTACTTCTTTTAGATAGTTGTTCATCACTTCTTCATCTGAATTATTATTTCTATAAAGTTTTCATAAAATTTACAGGCTTCTTTTAAAATTTCAATATCTTCTGTGACGACCTTGGATGGCGTTTTTATTTTAGTTATAACATTACTGGTTTGTCTTTGTTTTTCTAATTGTAAAAAATAAGATGTACTTTTTTCCCCCTTTTCAATCCATTTAGCCCTTGATCTAATAAACATTCCACTTGATTCATATTCATACAATTTGTCTAACTTATTTATCATTTCATTCCTTTTGATATTTAGTTCTGTTTTAACATTTTCTCGTTTACACTGATTTATGAAATTTTCTAAGCAATCGATTTGATCTTGTAAAATTATTTTGTTGTCCTTTCTTTGATTACTCTTTTTAATTGAATGACTTATTGCAATCTGTTTAATTCTTACCTTTATCAGCTCCCAACATACCCTTTTGGACTTGAATGTTTTACTTTCTTGATTTATTTCTTTGAGGTATTTTGATATATTGTTACAAAAATCTTGATCTTCTAATAATGAGTTGTTAAGTTTCCAGTATCCTTTCCCTCTCTTATTTCCTAATAATCTTATATCTGTTATAACTGCTTTATGATCTTTTTTTAATGCTTGGAGTATATAGCTTTTTTTAATTTCAAGTCTGTTGTTTTTTGAGATAAAAATGTAATCAAGTCTACTTTTACTTTTTAGGTTTTTGGTACTATACGTAAAGCCTATATTTTTGTTTGATTTATTATAATTTTCCCACGTGTCAATTAAAGTGCAGTTTTCAATAAAATGTTTTAGACTCTGTCTACTTTTATCATTTTGATGATATTTTTCTGTTGTTGGAAATCTGTCAGAATCTCTTAAAGCACAGTTGAAGTCACCACTTATTATAATATTACCTTCTATATGCTTATTACTTTGAATCCAACTATTAAGGTTGTCTAAGAATAATTTTCTACAGTTGCTTTCATTTGGTGCATAGATTGATATTAAAGAAAATATTGTACCATTTAAATCAACATTTGAGAGCAATCGTCTTCCATCATTACCGCTAACAATATTTAAAATTTTACACGAGAGTCTTTTGGATATTAATATGGAAACGCCTCTAGAGTGTTGGGAATTTGTTAATTCATTCATAAAGTCAAATTCATAAAGTCAAATTCATGAAAGCAATTTCACAATTGTAAAACATGAAAATGCATTTTTGGACTGATTTTCATGTTATCATTAATAAAGAATGCTGACATTTTTGTAAAGGTAATCTTACTGGCAGTGCAATTTCACCCAGATTGTCAATATTTGGTACATCATCATCCATGCCATCATCATCATCGTCATCAATGAGAACATCCTCATCATCTTCTTCTGCCATGAATGCATTATTATCATCATCCCCATCAAGGTCATTCTTATTAGCAATGGTGGCTGCAATGACAATGAAATAGAAATTTTGAACCTCTATAGTCTATATTTCAGAAAATTACTTCATCTCAGAATGGATTAGTTGCAATATTTAGAATGGTAAATACCACATTGGTTAATGGAAAATACAGTTGGAACCTCTCCTCTTCTATGACGTATTTAGAATTAAACAAATTCTTACATTTTAGGATATCATCTGCCAGTTCATCAAGCTCTGAATCACCAAATTCTTTTTGTTGATCTCCCTCTTCCACAATCTCCCCAGTCTCCTTGTCCGTGTTCTCCATGGCTTTACGTATTTCATCCTTCTCATTTGGGACCAGGTCACCATTGGACAGCGTAGAATCCAATGATTTCTGATTGGTTAACAATTTACGTCCTTTCATCATGGAGTGTACTCGAGAGTCAGGACGTACAGCCTGAAATGGAAATACATGTGTGATTTGTTTGAAATAAAGCAGCTTAACTTCAATGTGTAATCAGAACAAGTCCTCACATATTCAAACAGTAGACTTAAAATGAGATTGATAGCTCTACTTTTAATGAAAGCCTAACTTAATTAAGATGAATAAAACCACAAAATTCTTCAATGGAGGAGATTACAGGCAGATGAGACATTTGACCCTACAGTTAACCTGTCTAATCTGAAAACCACTGAGACCAATCAGGGGTGTTCAGATTCGTTGGTGTTCACATTTCAAGGTTTTATTACATGGAAGTCCATGGCATATTTAAATAAATGTGACCACAAAGCATTCATATTGAGAAGTGTTCAGATTAGAGAGGTGTTCATAAAAAATTATTTCAGCAATTTGCTGTTACTAACTTAGTGCTCCAGACTCGTACCTTAATAACCGCTGAGAAAAGTTTCGGTGTGGATGCCCTTCCTTTAATAACAACTTCTGTTTTTTCCTTTGCGGCTTCTGCACTCTTATTCTTGGCTGCATTCTGTGCTAACAGTTTCCTACAAAATTGCTTTTTTGTTATGTTTTGTGTTACACAGCAGGGTTCAATTGCCTTGTTATGAAGCATTTTGACAAAAAGCATATAAAGCTTCATAATGAAGGATTTTGTGTCTGTGTAACATGTTAAATATCCTTTGTTACAAATGTTTTCTCATGTCAAAATGCTGTGTAACAAAGCAGGAAAAACTGTTGTGGAACTCTAAACATTGAATGTTAAGTTGCAATAACATCAACATCAGAAAGAAAGAAAGACATGTTTTCATAATAACACAAACGTTATTTTACATAAGAAAATACTAGAACTCTAGAATGTGAAATTATAGATTGTAAAAAGCAACAATGAGCTAAAACTGGAGAGTATGAGTGAGTTGTCAATGATAATTATAGTTTTTGATAATTTTGAAATCAATATATACATATGTACATGAGGGAGGAAAGGAAGGGGAGGGTACTCCATCCATTCTGTCTTACTGTCATTGAAGAAAATGCATCAAAGGAGGGCAGTTCCCATTACTCTTCAAAAATAATTGTTGAACGAAAAGTGGGCGGTGCACTAATAGATGGGGGAAGTGCAGCTTGGTTACTAACATTACATTAACACTGAATCATATGAAAAGGTCAGTTATTATTGGGATATATGTGATGAAATGTATGCGATGAGACAGTAGCATGAGTACATTATGGTCTGATAGTATACAGGACTTAAGTCGGAATTCTGGACATGGTGAGAGGTATGTAGGCGTCAGATGAATAAATAGAAAATAAAATTCAACATCAAGCAAAGGGAATGATCAGTCACAAAGTAGGTATGACAAAGGAGATGAGATTAAAGAGATGTGACAAAAAATTGGAACACCACAAAGGAGACATGAAAGGAAAGGTTCTGTCCATTCTAAGAAATATCTCTTATCATCCATATGGAATCTATTGACACAATGATTCCATCCTACAGCACATCTCAGGATTGGATATGTTAAAGGGGGAACACTGGCCAGAAAGCACAAGGTGGGTCTGCTGGAACTGTAAAGGAATGAGAAAGGCAGTGTATGTAGGGGAAGAGTAAGGCCAGGTAAGGCAGTGTATGTAGGGGAAGAGAAGGGCCACTTAAGGCAGTGTATGTAGGGCCATTATGTTGTATGAGACAGACCTGACAATTCCACTGTAAGAGAAAATATGAATGCATTTATGAATATAAAAGCATAAAGTCAAAGTAATGAAAACAGATATGAGTAAAATAGAATAAAATAAAATAAGTAAAATCAAATAAAATGAAAAGGTTTATGAAAACTAAACTCTAGAGGAAAATAAATAAGCATAAATCACAAGCATTATAAAGAGTTGCTCAGGCACTAAATATGACAATGCTCTGATGTTTAGAATATTATTTGAAGAGGGACTAAAAGAAAGCTAAAACAGTCAACAAGCATCTATCAAAACCACTAATAACAAAAATTGATACCATATAATCAACTAAAGCAAAGATTCATCATTATCAACATTACATTTTCTAAACAAAGCACATGTACTTCAACATAAGTTAAACAAGCAGGCCCGTAGCCAGGATTTGCCAAGGGGGGTTCAGTTTTCAAAAATTTCCAGGGGGGGTTCACATTTGACAATTAAGGCCCAAATATGGTCAAAATCACTTGAAAAGTGCTCAAAATGGTGAAAAACTGCATGATTTTGAAAGAATTTTTGGCCAGGGGGGGGGTTCGCCTGAACCCTGCAAACCCCACTGGCTACGGGCCTGACAAGAGTGTATTTTTACTGAAAAGTACATTCAAGAACCTACTTTGCTCTTTTCTTGAGAAGCTTTTGAGCTTCTGGATAGTCTCTCATGGCTTCTTCAAATGCACTCTTGGAGAGAATGAAGAGATTTGAGAAGCCTTTAGATCTCACATCTGCAGTACGTCTATTACCACCAGCCAATGCTAGCAGACTGAAACATATAAGAACATGTGAATCATGCGTATAAGCAATCACTACTCTTACCACTATTAATTTTAAAACAGAATGTACTTTTCATTTCATTTTGTTTTAATTAATGATTCAAGTGACATTTCAAAAAACAACTTTGAAAAACTGGACAGACCCCTTCCCTATCTTCCCCAATTACACAAAATAATTATTGATGTTTATATAAACTTAAACAAATGTTTCACCCTAAAACTTGGAAATGTTTAGCTTTCCTGAAACAATTCAAGACTAGCACAGAGTATAACCTAACTCAGTTCCTTCAAAGGAGTCAATCACCAGGTAAAACGGCACCGGTAAAACATACCTTATTTCCCCAAAGACGCTTCCTTCATGTAATGTTGCCAGAACTGTCTGACCATCTGGCCCACCAACCACTTCAACCTGTCCCTGCATCACAATGTACATCTCTGTTCCTACCTCACCCTGTAGTAATAACAACCGATCGTATATGTTTATTATCATTTTTTCTCAAAAGGACGATTCTCGGTTTGGAGAACAGTCTCCTGGGCTAATAATTTTTTTATGAAAAATATAGAAATATTACCCAAATTAATCTATGAATATTCAAAAGAGGACATTTAGATCTACAAGATGTAAAAATAACAAATTGGTCTGAAGCAGGTATAACGCTCAATTAGACTGATTCAATAAAATACAAGTCTCGATTTGGGGAAAGAAGTTCATCAGTGTACTGCGCTAATATTTTTTTGCGAAAAATCTAGAAATATTACCCAAATTAAATTATGACTATTCAAAAGAAGACATTCTAATCTATATTATGTAAAAAAAATCAAATTTGTCCGAAGCAGGGATAATGCTCATTTAGATTGATGAACATCGTTCTCTAAACTGAGAATCGTCCTTTTAGTTTTCTCTGGAAGTTTTCATCATTTATAAACACAAATTTTCAGAGAATCTTTTCTTGACTTCCCACACAATATTGTATTTACTAATAGATCATTTTTGATGCAAATTCTGCAATTGTCATATTTCAATCACTAACCTTTCTGCATATGTAATCATCAGGCAGATATAACTGAGGCTTCAGTTTAAGTACGAGGTCATACAGCAAGTTCTTGTCACAGTCCTGTAAAACAATGCACAGAATGCATAATTGAGAACCATGAATACAATTGCACTAATAAGCTAAGTTAGAATTGTGCCTTAGAGTGATGGCAAAATGCGTTTCATTAGAAAAATGAAAAACGTCTTGGGAAGGAAAATTGAACATTGATATACGGGTATCACAAATTTTTTTAATTTTCTCTTGGAATTCATCATTCAGAAAGATAGGATATCAACATAATCATAATCATAATTTGACATCATAATCAACATGAAAAACAGTAAATTCCACGAGAGGTCATGTGACTCAGTCAAATTTCATTCAAAATTATATAAATGCAAACTTGGGTTCTATGGGATCTAAAAGGGACATTGATTTACATTTACGATGCTGGCGACATTTCAAAAAGATATGATTTGTTTAACATTAACGTTCACATGCTGGGGTAAAATTATGAATTAAATATAAAATTTTGAAAAGGATGTCTTAAATCATAACAGAACTCATACATGTACATACATGTACATGTACTGGAGAAAATAATTGTGTAATCTATCTACAAAGAACCTTAATCTTACTTTCGATCCAATAAAATCCTTTCATATTCAATGAACGAGTTCCAAGAATCAAATTGCAGCACAAATATCATATTTAAAACGTGTGCACATATACATTATAGTGTACAGATCAGATACTGGTCATTTTATGATTTTGTGAACAGATGCGAAGCTATTTTTCCTTTCTGTATGATATTTCAAATCCAAGATTTAAAACCAGGGTGACATTGTGTTGAGCTTTGTTTGTACAACAATATGATGATTATGAGTTGTGATGACCAGAAACATTGAATATATAAACTGCACTCACTGCTTATTTGCATGAAACAGATTCTTCTGTCACTGACATGTCAATAATTTGAAAGAACTGTACTGGATTAGACAAGGCATTAACATGACAAAATGTCACCACCTAGTTGAAGCAAGATAAAAAATACCTTTTTGACCCTGAGGAGGTCACTAAAGGGCTAATCTATTTTGACCTTGAGAATGTCATATAAGGATCAAATCTATAGTCAGATTTGAAATGTTGAGAACTTATAGATGATTTTGAAAAAAAGATTAATTTGAAGCAAGTTGAAAAAATACCTTTTTGACCTTTTTTGACCTTGGAAAGGTCATTGAAGGTCAAATTTTAAATATAAAGTCAGATTTGAACTTCCGAAAACATGTAGATGATTTTGAGAATAATTGAAGTCAGTATTTGCTAAGTTATTGGAAGGTGTAAGAATTTGTTACAGACTCAGATCACCAATCACCAAACATCAACCACCAACCGTCGACCAGTCAAAAAAAACGGAGACCATAACAATATGTCACCACTTTTTGGTGGTGACATAAAAATGGATATAATCAAATTTATGAGGCTAATTTAGCAAAGTATAATGTCTACAAGAATTTATAAGAATAGGTCAAGAACATGAATATTAGATGCCTACGTATGTGATAGACTTACCTGGAACAGGTGCACCTTGCAGAGTGTCGAGAAGTGAACATTGATGGCGAGATCAGCCCTGATCTTCTTAGGTAGAGCTTGCAATAGGGAATTCTCATCTGGAAGCAGTGAAAACAATAAATGTACTGGAAACTTGGTTATATTTCAGATATTTTCAATATAGATCAGCTTGTTGCATTATATGCAGGTTCAAATCTGATGAAATGGTCCAAAGTAGATGTACTACTATATAATGAATAGAATATTGAACATGACTTACTTAAAGTCTTCTGTTGTTCCCAGTTGTAATTGAACCACATGCGCACCTTCTCCTGCAGCTCTGGAGGAACATTCAATGACTGCATGTAGCGCATCGTGTCATCCATAGTCTTGCGGTAGTTTGTCTTTACGGCTGTGGCAGCTTGGAAAATATCCCGAATCTGGAAAAGGAAAAACATAAAAGAGAGATCATGACATATCTGATTAAGATTTTAGACAAATGTGAATCAGACACAACTTGATGGTGAGTTTTTTACCTTCAAATAGTCAAATAGAGCTGACAGTAAAGGAACTGTTAAATGAACTAAATAAAAAAGAGTAAAATTACACTAGAATTAACTAAAGGTGTTGTCATGTGATGCACTGATGCATGTTTAGAAGATATTTTCAATGTTGGCGTAGATTGTTGGCCAACCATGCTGTAAAAAAAGCTTCTCTATACAGAAATTTTTTTTTAATTGGAATACCACTGGGACCAACCAAAATAATGAATGGATTAACAGTGTTCATATTCCAAGGTTTTTTTGTTAGTGCCAACCAATGGGAGGTTTTGAGATTAGGATATACCCTGGCTTTGGGTTTTACTGTACTGTATATACCCATAAATTTGACTGGATTAAAATAACTGTCAATGTTAAAGCAATTTCAATGAAGAATTATGTGACAGAGTATCTGATCATTCAAGGTCAAGGTCATCACTAGGTTAATTCTTTTGTGATGAGAAATCTGTGTAATTAAGATATTAATTGTGGAATGTTTACTTTACATACCTGACCAATCAACAAGGCAAACACGAAGACACCTGACAACCAGTAGAGACACATAAACATATACTCTAGGTTGTTAGATGGTAGCGGGTTGTTCCCAATAGATGTCGCTGTCTTTGTTGCCAAGTAAAGACATCGAATGTACCTAAATAAGGCAAAAATAGGTTGCATCTTCATAAAATTGTAGAACAGATATCTTAGCAAGAAAAGAGGTAAGGGGACATTTTAGACTATACCATGTAAATGTTTACTGTAAGGAAGAAAATACATAAAGTAAGACAATGCATAAGTTATGCAAAATAAGCAATAATTATTGAACACCCTGTGTAATGTTTAGGAATACAGAATATCAGATTGAGTACTTACGAGGTTCCTTCACCATTATAAGTCCACTGGGTTGAGTTTATTCCCTCATACTCTGAGACAGCGTAGTAGCCACATGTTTCAACATGGATCAGGTAGATCATATAGGTCAGAGTCTTTGCTATTCTGAAGTCAAAACATACGGTGAAATGAGCAAAATGAAATTCAGAATATGTACCTATCTTTGTAAGACATGATCATATAGGTCAGAGTCTTTGCTATTCTGAAGTCAAAACATACGGTGAAATGAGCAAAGTGAAATTCAGAATATGTACCTATCTTTGTAAGACATGATCATATAGGTCAGAGTCTTTGCTATTCTGAAGTCAAAACATATGGTGAAATGAGCAAAATGAAATTCAGAATATGTACCTATCTTTGTAAGACATGATCATATAGGTCAGAGTCTTTGCTATTCTGAAGTCAAAACATACGGTGAAATGAGCAAAGTGAAATTCAGAATATGTACCTATCTTTGTAAGACATGATCATATACAACAATGTAGGTCAGAGTCTTTGCTATTCTGAAGTCAAAACATACGGTGAAATGAGCAAAATGAAATTCAAAAAAGCCATATGCTGTGAAATGAGCAAAATGACCTTCAGAAAATATACATATACATGTATTTGTAAGATATGAAATAAGCTGTTTCTCACTCGAAATTGTGTATTGATGTGAAATAAATATTAAATTGATATAATCAACGTGTCTTAAATATCAATCAAGTAAAGGAAAAACAATGATAAGGTGAACAACCACTTTCAATCTTACGTTAATTAAAGTACATGAACTGTATCATTTAAAAAATACAATAAATCTAGCCACAATAAGAAAACGAACAGTAAACAACAGATCACTTTGAAACATTACACCATTTATGATTAACTCTTCATTTTTCTTAAACATTGTGGTCTTGCATTTATACTCTCATGTATGTGCATTTTATATCTCATTATATTCATTACAACACATTTTCTACATCTCTCCATGCCTGAACATTCCACTTGCTTTGCTGATGACAAACAATACACTACATTTTCACCATTATTAACACCATTATGAATTAATGTATTTTAATTGTTTTTTTATATATTTTATAACTTTAATTCAACATGTGAATTCTAGTAGATCTTTTAATCATAATAATTTTAGAAAAACCCAAAGATCTGGTCTGAATAATGGTAAGAAGGTGGTGCATTAAGTATGTCGTCATTCTCAGTAAACTATCTAAAACACCATGGTTACTATGGATACAGCATCTGCAATATAACCCTACCTCACCACAAAGAGGTCAATTATATTTCGAGCGATGCGAATTTCTAAAATTTCCCAAAGATCAAACATAGGTTGTACCTTAATACCAAAATAAAAAGAAATGAAAAATACAGTACATAGTTTCACCAATAAAATACATGTACAGACTAATATACATACAATAATCAGGTCAACAATGAAAGAATCGACCAGTAGACTATGGAGAAGGGGTCTAAATAATCATCATCCATAAGGTTTTGTTGTGGACTAGATGAAGAATTATTTCACTCTATTAAGGCTCAAAATATTTTTATAATATTCCAATCAGATTTCACAAAACAAGAAACATTATTCATTTTTAATTCCACCCAAGGTACCCAAATACAAATATTTATGTGAGCGGTCAGATATCCCAAAGACAAAACCGAAGATACCACCCACAGATCTAAAAAATTATATGTTATAATATTTCCAAGATCTTATGGAAAATCCTCAAGATATAATGGCTAGATACACATAGTAGGACATGATAGCTAAAACAAAATTAAGTACATGTATATCAAAAATAATATGATAAAAAGATACAAAGTTTATACATGAATAAGGTACATTATAATGACATCAACAGAAGAAATACATCAAACAACAATCCCAAAAACACAGGAGGTACAGAACCTAGAAGTAAATAAAAGTACATAAATTATAGAGAATACAACATTATACATATTATCATATACATTAATCATAACATATATTACACTTTTCTGTATTCTCAGATTAAGCACTGTATATCCTGCATTATGTAGATATGCCAAATATGTGCTAATGGCTGCTTCATGTATTCATTCTCATTTGTGAGAAATTGGAATAAAATTATGCGAATATTCATTTTGGTTAACGTCAATCTCCGACTATTTTGTCTCCATTTTTTCTATATGACATCAAGATGACAAAATGTATCACAACATTACCAAAAATAGAATTTAATTGAAGAACTGCAAATGGTGCAAAGTTGTAAAAAGGCTTTAAATCAATTTTGAATTTCCATTCATTCTAGTATATATTCCTGCATAGAGCTTACTTCATCTGAGAGACAGTTAGAATAAGATCCTGGAGTACCAAAAATTATCCCGTGACCTACAAACAGGGGACCTGTATTAAGGTAGGTTCAAAGGTACACTGTACCACAAAGCCTGGAGTACCCATAAATAGTACACATGGGGATAGAGACAACATGTAACATGATACATTGGGTGATACCTGATCAAATGGACAGACTTAGCAGACTGATCTATACGCTCATAAAACTCCCAGAATGACTTTAGCTGAAATACAATAGTGTTAGATAAAGCATTGGAGTAGAAAATTATGAGAATTAAATTAAGGAATAAATGTGTGATAAACTTTGTGCAGCTTACACAGTTCCGAGACCTCTTAAAATTATAATTTCCATTGGTAGCTGTTACATAGTAGGGTCAAATTGCTTTGTTATGAAACATTTTGGAAAAAACGTTTCGAAACGAAGCAATTTAGCCCTGCTTTTCAATTCATTTTTTTGGGTTGTGCCAGAGGGAATATGGTGGCAAAACCCAAAACCATTTGACGGCCATGCATCTGCTGGCGTTTATACCCTCAGAGTCTGGGTCAAAATATTAATGTATTTTTTCACATCTAAAATGTTTCTGTGAAGATCAAAAATGTTGTTTTAATTTTGTGATTATATTTCTAAACCCCATTCCCACTCCCAGACACAATTAGTTGAATGTGGAAAAATATCTCATTATTTTGACTTTTGACCTGAGTGTCAAAAATGCATATTAAGTATGTATACTGTACCTACCTTTAACATGCGTGGTAGCCGTAGCAACGTAGCTCTGCCATTTGATAGGCCAGTGAGAAAGTAGAAGAAATCAAGAGGGAGCAAGGAGGCTACATCCAACTTAAAATCTTTCTTCTTTATATAATGTTTCCTTGTCTCTTTGGGGTTGTGCTGAAACATAAAGGAGTAGATTCATAATCATAATTCTAGTAACTATTAATTAATGTCTCAAATCTTCCGTCAACAATCCCTATGACAACAGGAATTTAACCTCTTGAATCCCAGGCTCTAAAATTGACCAGAATTTTTCATTTTCCCCAGTTTTTGACATAAATTTACTTCATTCATAATGCTCAATTTAGTGACATTAGTCAGAAGAGATTATTTCTCCACATTTTAAACCATTTTTCCTTTAAATTGGATGAAAATTATTCAAATTAGAGCAATTTTTGTGAAAAAGGATGTGTCCGGGTATATGCCCTTTTGGTCCCTCAGTCAAATGTATGTGAAATGTGTTTTTTATTACTGTCTTAGTTATATTTCATAAGTATATTTACTTTTTCACGAGTTTTGATGCATAATTAACCCCCTGCTGAGAGTCATAATATAAGTATCTTAACAAACAAAAAATAGTCATTATCATAGAAAAAACACCAATGGCAACATGTATGACTTACAAAGAAGAAATAAATTAAGACCCATGAAGAATTTAAAAGAAAATCATATTTTTGAAATATATTTAATGATTAAATTTTTTTCAAATTTTTGAATTTCCCGCCAGTTTAATTTAAAGGGGCAAAAACAAGATGGCTACCATTTTATGTAAGAAATATCACAAAAAAAGTTGCTTCACTTTTAGTTTTCACAATGAGCACAGTTTTCCGGTTTAGGTTTTTTGACTGATTTTGACTCTTCATCACCAGCGTCATGTATAGAGATTATAAAATTGAAACCAAAATGTTGTGCTCAGCATGAATTTGACTGAAATATGTGTAACTTCACCAACACAATTGAAGTCTCAAAACTGGATGCTCAATAACTTTGAATGTCTATAATCCCTTGATTACCCAGATAAACACAATTCACTTATCCAGAAATACCATTCAATGTCTATACAAAGAAAGTAAGCAATGTTTTGGAGGATATGTTTCAAACCTTTTGTATAAATAATTCATTTAATATTTGCCATTGATTTTTTTTTCAATTCTGACAAAGTGATATGCACTGTCTTTGATGCCAATATTCTTCATTAATTGTGATACAAATTGATATTTTTGTACTCTCAGAAGAAGGATAAGATAGTGAAGTTTAATAATATGTGTGATTGAGTTGGTTTTTCAGACATTACAATTTTCAATATTTTCTAAGTCGATACCCAGACTCATTCCCAGACTCATCCTTTGGTGACTGATTATCATGTCACTCTAAGTTTCAAGGTCATTTCTAAGGTGACGAGAAATCTTGTCACTCTGGGTATTGAAGAGGTTAATATTTATTCCAGCATGCTTAAGTCAATGCAAATATTCAGTCAACATGTTTCAATAATAAAATATCTAAATTTTAACCTTGGATCCATTATCTTGAAAGCACCATAAATCATCAAATTCAAGTGTACTTGAGCAAGTTTACAATAATTATGTCACCACGTACAGAAAAAGCAATTGAATTCATCAAATGACAAGCAATTGCCATGCCACACTCTCTCTATATGATCTATTGATACTTCAAAAATGACCGAAATCAAAAAATTGGAAACTAGATTTATAGAATGCACAGTGTATTGTACATAAATCATAAAAGTTTTTTTCTTAATCTAATACCTCCAGCATCCCCTGATTGATAAACTTTATCCTTGGCTTGAACAGTACTATGTCCAGTAGGTATATCAAGTCACACAGGTAGTCAAAAGTCAGCCAGTACGGAAGTGTAGCGGGAGTTTGGTAGGGGAAAGCCGCACGTAGCAGAATCACCCAAGAATTGTACATAAATGCTAAGGTCACGATGAACAACCAGAATAAGTACAACTGACCTAAAAAACATAATTTCAATGCATATTCAAAATAATATACATAATTTAGTAGTCGTCATTTAAGTGGCAACTTCAAGTGCTAATTTTCATGGAGCATTTTAACCATTTGCGATCAACAACATCACATGACATACATGTTTATGCAAATATTGTTCAGGTATTAAAATGTTTTTAGTGAGAATCCATTCTTAGACTTGTCGTGCATAGTTGGACTGGCTAAAAGCTCTCTAATAAATGTATCTATTTCAAAATATCTATTGTTTGACAATGTTAGGTTTAAAAGTGTGTGATTGCAGATGTATAATTCTAAGTATAATAATATTGTGAAACTTCAATTTACTTTTAATTCTGAAGTGTCATCTGAATAACACCTCAATAAGCATGTAAAATATGTATTTCTAATGCAGTTAAAATGTCATAAAATGTCATATAATATTTCATACACTTCAAAAATCTTACTTTGGGGATCAATTGTAGTTGGGAAACGGCACCTCCAGAGAAACTTTGGAATCTTGATTCTACAGCGTCCTATCCCACAATGCTTTTCTTCCTTGATAGGGTCAGATGCATCAGTGTTGGCAGGTGACGCAAGTGGAATGAACGAGTTGAGTCGATGCTGCCTCTGGGGCGGAGCTTCATTTTCATTGTCAAACCCAGAGAGAACTGAAAATTTCACAAATTCATAGGTTCTGTGTGTTACATAACATTGAGGAATCTAGTCAATATTTTGATGTTCAAAAGCATCATTGATTTCAGGTTGACCTCCTCACTCCCTTTAAGAATGTAGAGTATGTTAATTATCATCGTTGATTTTCCCTTCAAAAAAATTATCTCAAAAAACATAATGGGCTCTCACCACTCCCCTAACTGTAATTAATTCATATGTTTCTGCAATGCTAAAAAAAGTCCATGAATGTCAAAGAGAATTGTGTACCAAGTAAAATCTTGAGCAGTAAATGCAGTAAATAATTTCTGTTTTCTTTGATGTCAACGTGCACATTTAGCTAAAGCAACAGCCATATATTAGCTCATCAAAAAATCAACATGTAATATGAAAATACCTGACTTATCATCATCCAAGCTTGATAAAGATGGCGTTGGTGGTTGAACAGTCCTCTCTCGTATTTTCTCAGTTCGACTAGTGAACTTGCGAAATAAATCTCTTAATCTATCACTCATAGAGCTACTAACTCCTGATATATATGAGCCTCCAGCACTGCAAATATACAAATAAAAAAAATAAGGTAAATAAAACCTGTCTACTGGACCTGTCAAAAGTGTTCAGATCAGCAGTTGTTCACATTTCAAGTTTTATATACATGTGCATGTATCAAAGGGAGATAACAAATTGGGGACTGAGAAAAGTGTTCAAATTGATAGGTGTTCAATTCAGAGAGGTATTCAGATATATACAGGTTTCACTGTGCTAACTGCTAAGTACCATCTGTGTAGAAAAAGTGTTCAAATTGAGAGGTATTCAGATTAGAGATGTGTACAGATATACAGGTTTCACTGTACTAACTGGAAAGTATCATCTGTGTTGGAAAAGTGTTCAAATTGAGAGGTGTTTAGATTAGAGAGGTATTCAGATATACAGGTTTCACTGTGCTAACTGCTAAGTACCATCTGTGTAGAAAAAGTGTTCAAATTGAGAGGTGTTCAGATTAGAGATGTGTTCAGATATACAGGTTTCACTATAAAAAGATGATTCTCAAATGTAACAGGGTGTCTATTGCATATATGCACTAAAATGATTAAACGTATTATATTAACAATTGAGTTTTTTCATAGTTATTTGAAACACAGAATTCAATGTTGTCCTTTAACAGGATCTATGGTTATGATGTGAAAAAGTCAGATTACTCCTGAGGGACTTGAACCCAGGACCTTCATGTTTGTGTTGGATTAATGAAGCAAATGGCACTTGTTGTCAACTCATGTTGTTTGCTTTACTTGATGTAATTATGGCATGTCTAACCCAAGGAGCAGCAAGAAAATGTACAAGTAGATAATTTTCTGTATGCTGTCCTTAATTAAGAGCCTCAAGTCCTTAAAAGTGCTTAATTATATAGATTTTTGTATTTATTAAGTTGTAATTTCATAAGTGGACTATAAAACTTGCAATTCAAATTATTTATGAACAAAAGGAATGTTACTTTACTAATTCAATAATTGTAAATGTCAATGGGAGAGGGTTACGTGGGCCAACCGGGTTGTTTCCCTTCAATTTTAAATTGAGTTAAAACCATAATAAATAAGGGCTAATTAGCCGTTTGCAGATTATTGACATAGACATAAATTCTTAAGTATTTCTATAATTTATGTTGTAAATTTTATTAAACTTTAAGTGGTTGATAAGCCCAAGTGGGCTGTAATTGCATTGAATTGTTATGTTGTATTGTATTGTACCATATTGTATCATTCAATTTATACATTCTACTGTAAATAACAATCACAAAAAAACTAAGCTAAACTGTAATAAAAATATGTTTTTGTCAATTTTGCTAAAAGCATGATTTATAAGAACATGGGCAAATTATAATGATAAATAACATGTCAAGGTTAAAAAAATATCAAATTATTACATTAAAGGATATATAGAGGATATCCTGTGATTTTTGAGGGATACCATTTTTATCCATGAGTGGAAATTGTCTATCTCCACGAGTGAGCGCATTAGATATCACGTCATATTGATCGGATACGATTTTAGTGTCGTATACCAAAATTATCTTATGTTGTAATCCCCATGTATATTTAGTATCCATGGGATAAATAACAATACCCAGACCTTTCACTGGGATTGAAGATAATTTTGTAAATGTAACCTTTCACTGGGGATAATTCAATTTCTCTAGGATACTTCAAAATGAACATGAGATAACATAACTGATATAGAAAAAATAACATAAGAACAATACATGGAACTAAAATTTGATATAATCATTATAAAGGAGACATACACAAACCAAGACAGTCTTTACACATGAAATCAGGCAGGTGGGTGAACAGACAAATGTATTAATGAACAAAAACATATAATGATCATATTATCAGTAAAGATCCAATCTTAAGCTTGGGATACATAAAAAAAAGTGAACAGATACTGTATTCTCTCCTATGAGCACACAGTATTGAGTGCATGTGTAACTTTTATCATCTCAATCTCACATATCTTACCCTTTTAAATTTCAAGTTTGGAAGCAAACTGTGTGCTCATTAGAGGTTATATGGTAATTAGTTTCCTGTAACTTTGACAAGACTTAATGACACCTGCCAGGATGCACACACGCCCATCTGAGCACAGAATGATATAGAACTGTTTCAAGGGTGATAAAAAGCTGGTCCTTGAGTAACATTTGAAGTTTACTGGGAGTGGTTTAAAGAACGTGTCAGAGTAATGTCTGAAAGTGCTCCATATTGCTATTTATTTCACAAGAATCTTAAAAAGGGCAATGTTCTGATATATACACTTGGTACAACAACTATTATGATGATTTGTCATGCTGTAAATTAAAGAAAGTAAAGAATAATTTGCATATTGAACTGCACATTGTTATTGATAAACTCTCAACTTTATGCAATAAATATCAATCAGGCATTGAGTATATAATCTCACAGAAGTTCTTTGTCGAAAAAAGATTGCTGGTATCGTACAGATCGTAAAATCAAGATGAATGACAGGAGTGAGACAAGGGAAAAGAAAAAAAGTCGTAGGAATTTCCAGAGACTCACTGGGGATGACTGGTCTACTAGAATTCAATTTGGAAAAGATGAGAAACAGGAGAGGGGTCCTGGAAATCCAACATATTACTATAATGTATTAAGAAATGAAGCACAGAACACAGTGAACAAACAGAAACGCCAAACAGAAGTAGAAATTGAAATTGAAGATCTCCTCAAAAAGATGGGAGTTGATGAGGCCTTGCTATATGTTGTTAAAAGAGAAGGAAATTGGAAAAAGTCTGAAGAAAAAAAGACTGAAGATTCAATTGAAGAAAATGTGAAAAGTGATGAAACAGGTCAAATAAGAAAGAACCAAGACACAATGAAAAGATCCCTAAAGAAATTAACTGGGGAAGGCAAGGTAGGTGAGATAAAATAATAGTTTGAAACAGTGCTGTCCTTTTTAAAAAAAATAGAAAGAACTATTTGGACAGTGTACAGTAGTATCTGAATCATATTTTTGTATTTATAGAAACTGATTAGAGCTTCATCATCTTGATGTCCTTTGTTGGGATGATTTCATTTTGATCTCCAGTTTCTTTTTTATTGTTTTTCTGATCCAAATATTTCTTTTACTTTCTAGATTGAAGCACTTGTAAAATGTTTGCTGCAGCGTGACGCAAGTACAGAAGCAACAGATGAGTGTGGAAGAACAGCCCTTCATTATGCAGCTGGAAATGGATGGTTGAGTAAGTTCAATGAATATCTAAGTATTCATCTAAATAACTATTGATTATAATATCTTAATACACTCTATTTGGCACACTTTTTATGTCACCAACAAGGTATTGAGAAAATTTAAAACCAACCACAAGTAATCTAAACTACGATCTTACAATATCATAGTTTACGAGGGGGTATCATTAATTAGTGAGACAAGTACCATAACTTTTTCAAATTTGCTTCAATTGCATTGATATTTTCACCAAATAACATTTTGGTAGTATGCTACATCCTCATGTAGTTTGATTAGTTAACTCTATCATATAGTGGTTTAAGAGATTTCTATGTGACGTCATGACCAGTGACCCCGAGCAGTTATTAATATAAAAAAACTTCAAGATTTTACGTCAAATTTTCCAATTTCTCTATATTTCATGACTTTATGGAATATGTACTAGTATAGTGCCATCTAAGCATACATGCCTAACTATCATTTAGCTTGCAAAGTTACATCTTTTCAAAGTATTCTCCACAGCATCTGATACACTTTCTACATCTATCAATCCATTCCTGGTATGCGTCCCTACACCCATGAGCCCACAGCTCATTCATTTTAGTTACGACTGCCTGCTTTAGTTGATCTTCATCAGTGAAATGTGTTCCACAGAGGGTATCCTTTAACTTTGGATTTACATTTACATTTACAGGCACTTTCTCCATTCCATATTTCTGCATGGTGTCTTGCACAAGTTTTGAGGTATGTGAGGGTGCATTGTCCTGATGTACGAGAGGCTTCTCTAGTAGGAGGCGTTTCTTTCTGATAGCGTTACGCAAGTCACGTCTCACAAACTGGAAAAAACATAAATATTTATGCCATATTATATATGATTGTAATATAATGACTATATTATCATGCCAAAAGAATAATTCTGTTATTTACATACAGTGTAACCATATACGTACATCTAATAAAATCTATATACCTTTGCATAGTATTCTTTATTCAGTCATCCCCTTCGGCACCATGTGAGTGAGGAGTGGTCCAGAAATATCAACAAATATAATAAACATCCTTTTCTCCTTCAGGGTAACAGTCCTGGCCTTAATTGGGGCTGGTTCCCCCTTTCTCCTCCATACTGATGATTGTCGTTTAGACTCTGGTGTATAGAACGATATTAAAGTTTCATCTCCTGTGATAATCTGCTCTAGAAAAGAAATGCCGTCTTTCTCATAACGTGCGAGGAATTCTTGACAAATCCTGACTCTTTCTGCTTTCTGCTCTCCTGTAAGAAGTCGGGGTACCCAACGTGCGCTAACACGAGTCATAGATAGCTCTTGGGTTAGAATCTTTTGAACTGAGGAATATTTGAGTCCAGACATAATACAAAGTTCAGTTATAGTGTGTCTACCATCCATAGATATCATATCTTAAATAAGTTTGATGTTTTCTGGAATCACGGTATCAGATTTGCGACCACATCTGAGAGCATCAAAAACAGTGTGGTTTCCATTATCTTTAAATGTAGAATACCACCTGTAAACAGTTGACCGCTTCACATTTTCCTGTCCATACACCTTATGTAGGCCCGGAGGTGTCTAGTGCTGGAATACCTCTGATTGCATTGTATTTTATAACAGATCTTATGTTAACATTGAGTTCTTTGGAATTCATCCCTATTTTAGCCAATTTTGCTCCACCCTAAAGTACTGCAAAATGGCTGTGTCTCTGATGTCACAGCCATGTGTGACATCATGTACTAGAGATGACATCATAATTGGTTGTGTTGTCATAACAACCACCTCAGGGCACTGTGTAAACAGAATTTGAAAAGAAACTGTCATTTTGTAAAAAATTACATAGTAAAAAGTGCCCTTGTTTCTGGTAATTTTTTAGCTGCTCCACCAACCCCTAGCAACCGTTGCCATGGTAACCGCTGTTGCTAGGTATCTATGAAAATAAATTAATGAGTGTGTTCATTCAATACCCTATTCTCAAGGGCATATACCTACCAAGTTTTATTGCAATTGAATGAATATAAGATGCTGCCTCAAAAAAGTCTCACTAATTAATGATACCCCCTCGTAGAGCTTCATCCCAATTCAGATTTTCAAAAGGCACTGGACAATAAGACATTTCTTTCATACTGAAAAGTGAAGACACTTATACTGCATGTCGAACTGTAAATCAGGTCATAACAAATCTTTATGACTTCAAAAAATACTGGAATTACATTAAATAATTGCAATGATATATTTTGCATTTTTGTAATTTTGAAAGGATTAATTGGTAACAATATGGTGAACTAAATTTAACATTGTTTTTCTCTTAAACAAATTATTGAAAATAATCTGTAATAAAACACACATCCTTTATGTTATGGTCGCCTACTGACAACAATTTAACGTGAAAATTATTTAAACAATTTTTTATCTTATTTTCAAATATGTATGTGCAAGTCCCAACAGGAAAACACAAAAAATGGTTATAAAACATACTGGGAAAAATATAAAAACATATAAAAGTACATGGGTCATAAGAATCATAATGAAACTAGAAAACTCGAGGGAGTAGCAAATCCCAACGAACACTATCACACCCGGTGATCGTGAAAATGGGACGGAGGGGGGAGCAAGCAATTTCTGGTAGAAAAATGAACAAATCTGCAAAAATTATTTTTTCAAGAAAAGGTTTATCATTAAATTGCTAAACGAATAGGCACACGGTATGGTAAAATATGTCGCGTATTCTACAAATTTTTTTTAGCCGATTCTCTTCTTAGGTATAAGATCTATTAAAAAAGGTGCAACGCCACCAATGTGCAAAAGTCAATGTTTTTGCTTTAAATCAAGCATCAACGGTCTACACAACCTGCAATAAATATTTGTAAGTGACATTATCATCATAAAATTAATGACCTTAATGACTTTACAAAATACGTTTCCATACGCTGTATAAAAAATAATCGAAAATAATTAAAATGGGACGGAGGGGGGGAGGGGACGGAGGGGGGGGGGGGGGGGGGGAGGGGACGGAGGGGGGAGCAAAATGTCTATACGACATGATGAGAGATGTTACTTCACTTTATATCCAAATTTTCCCATTTTCTCCTCAATTACAATGGGTTAGGAATTGATAACAAGTTGTATTCGTAGTTAGATTTATTTAGGATTATCAAAATCTTGAAGGAGAGCGTTTATCTTTTTATGTGTATAATAGTTTTTATTTTTTGAAGACTTATCATAAAAATGTAGACATCTCATCATATTTCTATTTGGACATGCAAGTTTTCGAGTAAGCAGTTACTAAAGTTGTTTCATTATTAACCTCGCTACCAGATATCTAGTATATGTTAATATTTTTGATTATGTTTATCTTCAGCAGATGTAGAATTTAGACTAAATAATCTGCCAGTTAGTGTACCCAATTATACCATGGGCACATCGCCTATTACGCCAAATACTGTACTGTACTTTGCATATATTTTCTCACACTAAGTGTAATATATGTATTTATTATGCAATATGCATCTCACATTTAGTGCAATATATGTATTTATTGTAACATTTGTCCTCGACCATATGCATTTTGCAATTCACATTTAGTGCAATATATGTATTTATTGTAACATTTGTCCTCAACCATATGCATTTTGCAATTCACATTTAGTGCAATATATGTATTTATTGTAACATTTGTCCTCGACCATATGCATTTTGCAATTCACATTTAGTGCAATATATGTATTTATTGTAACACTTGTCTTCGACCATATGCATTTTGCAATTCACATTTAGTGCAATATATGTATTTATTGTAATATTTGACCAAATGGGTGACACTCAGATATAAATGTATACTGTGTCTCATAAGTCGACACCGGCTGGTGATGTTACCAAATGTTATTTTTATTATGTATTTTACATGTCTATTGTAATATCAACTAGATGATGGCAACTCCGCGGAGTAGCAAATCACAACGAACAAAATATCAATTACCGAATTTCAATCAATTATACTCATTACTTTGGTTTAAATTGAAAAATTTAGATTTTAGAATTGCGAATTCCTGCAAAGCAGCCATTTTGAATTTTCTGAGGTACAAATCTGAAAAATAATACCATAATTGTGATCTACTCCAAAATTCCTTCAATTTGAGTATTATATAGCCATACGTTGAAGGGATCGAAAAATTATTGCGAAATTGTACATTAGACGGGCATTTTGAATTTTACGAGGCTCGAATCAGAAAAAAGATACAATTTTTGCAATCTACTCTTAATTGCCTTTCATTTGAGTATAATAAAGCCATACTTCAGAAAGATCTAAAAATTAGCGAAAATTTCTGTTTTCCTGACCCCCCATTCACGGCCCCTGGGGGTCAGGATGAAAAACATGGAATATATGTGAAATAGATAGATGTTTTCAAACAATAATATTAATTACTTTGGTTTAGAATGAAAAATTTATGCTTTTTGCGAAAAAGTCCCGTCATTTTTAAAGCGGCTGCCATCTTGCTTGAAAAAATTTTTTTTTGCGTAACACTATTCATCAATATACATCTTTCCACCAAATATGAAGAAAATCCGTCAATTAATATTTGAGTTATCTTCCGGACGGACAGACGGACGGACGGACTGACGCACTGACGGACGGACGGAGGGCTTCACTATATCCCTACCGAACTTCGTTCGTTGAGATAATGACACAAAAATAAACCTTTTTTAAAACTAATGTAAGAAACAAGACGTATGATGTGACAGTCGTTTATTACGAACGACCAGAGCCAGAGAGGCTAAAAAATACAAATGCAAATAATAAGTACTTCGTATTATATAGTACAATATGGCATTTCGCATAATATGGCATTTACACAATATGACATTTATACAATATGGCATTTCACATAATGTGGCATTTGGCACTTTACAATAATAAAAAATGAGGCATGTTGAGAATTAGGATTTAAACATTTTGCAACCCGACTAAATAACTTACAGAACTGGCTCTTTCTAAATGGGTATACGGCTATGGGTATTGTATTCAGGAATGGATAGTGGAATACAAGTGTAACAACCTTGCGGGAATATTTTGCCAACCTTAATTTGATCCCTCTAACTAAACCTAACAAGTAAAACATGTTATCAATTCCTGACCCTTTGTAATTGAGGAGATAATGGGAAAATCTGGATATAAAGTATCAAGTAACATCTCATATCATATCTTATAGACATATTGCTCCCCCCTCCATCCCCTCCCCCCTCCGTCCCATTTTAATTATTTTCGATTATTTTTTATACAGCGTGTGGAAACGTATTTTGTAAAGTCATTAAGGTCATTAAATTTATGATGATAATGTCACTTACAAATATTTATTGCAGGTTGTGTAGACCGTTGATGCTTGATTTAAAGCAAAAACATTGACTTTTGCACGTTGGTGGCGTTGCGCCTTTTTTAATAGATCTTATACCTAAGAAGAGAATCGGCAAAAAAAAATTCGTAGAATACGCGACATATTTTACCATACTGTGTGCCTATTTGTTTAGCAATTAAATAATAAACCTTTTCTTGAAAAAACAATTTTTGCAGATTTGTTCATTTTTCTACCAGAAATTGCTTGCTCCCCCCCCCTCCGTCCCATTTTCACGATCACCGGGTGTGAGTTAAGGGGGAGGGGGTTCAAACCCATTTCAGTTTGCTATCCGACAAATTTCAACATTTCAAATTTTTGGCAATTTCGACTCAGAATGCCTTGGAATGGTTTAAAATAAAGATTTTACCTGATGCTTTCTTCGTCAAGATTATTCCTGGTAATGGATTCTATTCTATCAATAGTTGTTAAAAGCCGCAAATTACGATAGGAATTAACAAAAACTAGATCGTGTTTAGCAATAATCTTTCAAATTCTCAAACAGGAAGTCAGCGATCAACTTTCATGGTATTTAGTTTTAGGGGGAGGGGGGTCAGAGTCAAAACTAGATGAACCAAACATTCTTTTGAATAATTACAATATTGAGGGACATAAATATATTGTGTGTATGTCATTTAGGATAAATGAGTCATACTTTTCAGGCCTGTTCGATAGGTTCGAGCGAACTCCCCCCTGGCCAAAAAATCTTTCAAAATCATGCAGTTTTTCTCTATTCTGAGCACTTTTTAAGTGATTTTGGCCATTTTTAGACCAATATTGTCACAAGTAAACCCCCCTGGAATTTTTCAAAAAGTGACCCCCCCCCTTTGGAAAATCCTGGCTATGGGCCTGCTTTTCCAAACATATGGTAACAAGAACAATAGACAGTGTCTGATGTGTTTCCTAAAACAATATATAAAAAAGTAAACTGGTTTTTGCCCCTGCTACTTCTTAAAAAGTAATGCTGTAACAAAGATCCCAATTATGCAAATAATATACATCTCTTACATCCTTTAGCATTTCAAGTGGTACAGCTTGAAACTTCAAACAAATTATTTATATTTCTAAGGGCTGACCTTTTTATCCCTTGAGAGTTTTATCCACTTGTTTATTAACATTAAGTTAGCTGGGAAGTGACAGACCCCAAAGTATTCCACTTATGGAGGCATTCCACTTAGCGGTTTTGGATGGTATATATTTTGTAAGACATTCAAGTGCATCCCTTGTTTAAACCCCCATAGATGGCAATGATACTGCTAGACTAATCCCTTCATCACATTTGATCTACTGCAAACATGCAGCAGCCGTAGGTTCCCAAAATTAAGAAAAATATGCAGCATGAAACATAGGGATAAGTAGTACGATTTTCTTGAGGCTTAACCAGTGTTTGCCATTTTATAGGTGTTTGTCAGAAGCTGTTAGATAGACAAGAACAAGCAATAAACATGAAAGATAAAGAAGGTAAGACACCTTACATAATTGCTGTGGACAACAAGTCGGATCAGATAGGTGCCTGCATTCTCTCTTACATGCCAAACATTATAGCAAGAGAAATACATACTGCGCAGAAGGACAAAAAACCTGAAATTTTGTTGGTAGATCTCTTGAATAAAGACATGACACTAACCATTAAGGCATTGTTTGATTGCCTAATTGATAGATGTACCCCAGTCATAGACACACACGAAGTACACTTTAAGATGTTGGAGGCTGACTTAAAAGGCTTTGATCCAGACCACGAAAAGTTCAATCCTAAAGAGCACTCTATGTTTCATGAACTAGCATACAAAGGAGACAAAAACTTGATATACCATGATGCTGTTAGGCTGTTGATAAAACATAAATGGAAAGAATTTGCAAAACGGCTTTTCATTGTCAGTACCATAGTGTATAGTCTATCCATTGCAATACTAACATTTGCCGTTGCTGTCGCATGTCAAAGCCCCGATCCTCGTGTCTATGACAACCCATTGCAAATAGTCAGGGGTGTGGCAGAGATACTGATTATATTATTTGTATCTACACATTTCTGGCTTGAATTGAGACAGATAAAAGTATACAGATTCGATTATCTAAAAGACCCCATGAACTACATTGACCTAGTGACCATCCTCCTCCTTATAGCAGTGACTCCACTGAGATATTTTTGTCCCAAGGTACAATGGTATGTCTATGCTTTGGGATATGTTGGCTGGACAATGAGAATTCTAAAGTATGCAGCTGTATGGAGAAATGCTGGTGCTTTTGTCCAAATCATCTGGATTGTTGTCACCAAACATATGCCTCAGTTCATCATCCTGTTCATTATTGTTTTGCTGGCATTCAGTGGTAGTTTCCAGCTGGCTCTAAGAGGGGAGGATGCATTTACAGTTACCACGTATCATTATGGCAACACAACTATATTTGGTACCATGTTAATAGGACTTCTGACAGTTGTAGAACAACAACCAACCATGGAGTATACGGATGACACGAGCAATTGTGGAAGATGGCTGTCAATTATAATAATGGTTGTTTACCTTATAGCCTGTATCATAGTCCTACTAAATCTCCTCATAGCATCCCTAACAGATACGTACCAGCAAATCCAGCAACACAGCCAGAGGGAATTGGAGCTAAGGAGGGCATTGATCATAACAAGGTTTGAACGCAACAGTTGGGTTCTACAGTTAAACCGGAACTTTAGGAAGAAGAAACATTATAAGGCGGTCAAAGAGTATAAAAACTACAAATCAAAGTTGGAGAAATGGGAAAGGCCTCCAGGGCATGAAAGTAACACCCTGATGAAAGATATAAGAGACAATGTGTATGACCTTCAAGAACATCTAGAAGGAATGCAACGTACTATACATAAGTTGTATACACAGCAAGAGCCAGAGGAAAATGATAATGCTGGGTTGAAAGAATATCTAGAAATGAATATATAAGGACTATAGTTATTGCTGTTTTTAAAATTACAAACAATCAAATGTATATATTAAGGGGTTGAAGCCACAATTCAAAATAGACATGGCAAAAGTTTAGGCAAAGATCTCTTTGCCTAAACTTTTGCCCCCCCCCCCCCTGGAAAATTCTGGCTATAGGCCTGGATATACTAAGTCATGATATTTATAATTCTGATGAGAAAATTGCTTCATCTTCCTTAATGCTAGCTTTGCATGTAATGGTGTCTCAGCAATCATAAATATGTAACCACAATTTAAAAAGGAGAACCATAGCATGAATTCTGCCATAACACCTCAATATCTCATCATGGGCAAGATGAGACCACATCATTAAAAAAATACATAATAATCTGATCATTTTGAGTGATATCATTTTTATTCACAAGACAAAATCACATATCAACACATTTGAGCTTTGCAAACATGTGTTAATAGTTTATATATACGCTGCAATAAATGATATCACTAGAAATTATCTGTTATTAGGTTAATCCCATGATGACAAACAAAAAAATAAAAAAAATAAAATTAGTTTACCATACAGATATGTGGCTAATAAACAATATCAGCCGCATATCAGGCTGATAAACTATTTTCTAAATAATATCACATGGGTGTTAAATTAAATCTTGGGATAAATTGATTTATTGACTCCCAACATAAGTAATGTTACATGTATATTGTATTTTGCTTCTCTCACTGTTTTAGATGTATATAGATATGTATATTCACATTTACATGTATGTACTCCAGCAAAGTGTAATTCTGGTGTTCATGGAGAGTTTTTAATTTAGTTCTGACTTCATGAACTCGAAATTAAAGAACACTTGAAGATAAATTAAGAAAAACCATATGATTAAACACTTCAAATTATGTTCATGAATGTATAAAGAATCTGTACGAATTGGATGAATTCTGTATTCCTTAAAATAGAAGTTAAAGAACATTTTAAGAATATGATTCAATATCTATATTTTATACATATTTTATATTCAGTATATAACAAATCAAAAATTTTATATGACACAAGTGATATGTTATAGTGTTCAAATATTTACAATCAATTATATTTATATTTAATCTTATTTATCAATTGATTTATACTTGGATGGGTATTGAGTAAGGTTAGATAATTGTCATGCCTTACACAGAGATTTGAATTTTTAACTCTGCATTATTCTTTTAAGCACAGTTCTCTAATTCTATAGCACACTGAATAGATTAACCTTTAGCAGACCACCGGCGACCGCGTCCGCCCATTCAAAATTACCGCCAGAATCCACCGGCGGATCCGGACGACACAAATCTTACTTTTGAAAACTTTACTTTTTCCCGCCGTTCTTATGATCAAATTAAATTGCCCGATTTATTCAGTCCTTAGTAGGTGACTTCCTGTTGACCTAGAAATGGCGATGTTTCGAAAAATATTTCTCAATTCAACAATTTAAACAGTGTTTAAGTCTTTTTTAGTGAACAAATCATACAAAATGCGGGCCAAATACGATCACAACGAAAATGTGGAGGAAATGGATTGCGATTTCGAACTCTTTAGGCTCTTGGAAGCTGATAATGGTCATCGAAAATAGAAACTAGAATATTTTCTGAACTGAAAAGAAGAACATTCGATCGCTGCAAATTCAGTTTTGGATTCTGACCAGACGTTGAATCTCCCCAGGGGCGAAACGGCGGATTCCGGAGGAGTATTCATGGTATATTTATGCCCAGTCGTGTTTATGTACAAAAAAAATTCATGAGAACATTTTTCTCATGAGCCAGGCTAGTGTATCTTTCCTTTGTGAAAATTCTATCCAGAGTCATTCAGTAGTTATTGAGATATTAATTACTGTATTTAGTCCAGGCATATCATTTTTGAAAAATAAGTCAGACGCGTGGGATATATTTGCTGAAATAAGTCAGAGTGCAGAAGGTTAAGAATCAAAATCTGTAAACAAACATTTGAAAACAAGATTTGTTCTCAACAATAATTCTCATGTTCTTGAAATCTTGAAAACAAAGTTAAGAATGGAATAATTCTTATTGTGTAGAATTGCACATTCATTGAATTTGTTAAGAATTGGTTGAATTTTCAAGATCATAAATTCTAGATTTGTTCTGAACAACTATTCTTAAAAAGTTCAAGGTAATGTTTCAGAACAGTACTTGAATTATTCAACATAAGTTCAAAAGTTGTTCTTTACAACTATTTTTATATCTTTTTGAATTGAATTACAAGAAAAATTGTTCAAAACATTCTCAAGAATAATTAAAAGTTCAACTAATTTGCACTTCAAGAATAAGTCAAGGATTTATGAGGAAATTTAGTACAGTTCAGTTCAATTAGTAATGACTTTTCACTTTAAGAGTGATGATATTCTTGTACAATTTAAAGATAATGAAATACATGCATTTAAATGATGAACAGAATGGATCCATTGTTATTCAAACGCTGGTCTTGACCTCCCCATTCAGTGCCTATTATCACAATTCAAAACAGTAAGGCAAAAGAACATAAGAATACAAGGTGTCAAATAAATATGTTCTCCCCTTAGCGTTGCATGACTGCAAGATATCTGAATTGTTCTCTAGCACATAAAAGCTAGGCTTCATGAAGCAACTCCACAAGAAATTCCAGGTGACTAGATCAACTAGATGTACTTTTATACACAAAAGTTCATACTTAAGGGGGGGGAACATATTCACTTGACACCCTTAAAATAGATATACTCACGCAGAACCAGATTCACTGCAAGCCACAGATCCAAGTGATGGCCTTCTATTTGATAGTTTCGCCAATTCTGACCAATTAGAGCGCACACTTGGACTACGTACAGGAGTACGAGGGGTTGAGAGTTGGTCAATGCTGATGGTAGGCTTGAGACCTCCTGTGTCATTATCTGCTGCTTGGCCATTTGATGATATACTCAGTCTCTTTATACCTAGAATCAGAGGCAATACAAATGTTATCATAAGCAATACTACATTATCATGTACAATACCTGTATAATCATATAAAATACATCTCATCATATACCAATAATACCATACACATATACCTCTAAAAATGCATATGTTATCAATAACAATACATATACTACCGTTTACAAACATATGTTATCACACACTATATAAACATGTAATACATATGTAATCATTTATAATAAGTCATATGAAATTAAAATATTTTCAATATGTATTCAGAACCAAGAAGAAATAGAAAGGATAGAGAGTTTAAAATGTTGGAAGTAATATTTTCAACAAGGCATTAACATGCAAAATGTCACCACCTGCCAGTTGTTACAGACACATAGACTGAACACAAAAAAGTTGGGAGATTATAGCAATATGCCACCACTTGTTGTGGTGACATAAAAAGCAATGCTTCCATTATAATCCTTTTTTATTTTCCAAAATAAATCAATTTTGTGTTTTCCCGTTTCCTAAAAGGATTTGGAAATCTGAAAAAGCAGGTCGTATTGATCTTATTAGTATTCTGACAAAGATTATTCTGTCATTTGTAGCTTGTGTCTCAACAACTCATCAGTCATGTTTGCCATCTTTCACATTTTCCATCTAAGAAAAAGTGAATAATTTAATTCCAAGATGTAATTTCCTTGTTTAAGAGCAATGACACCCTCCAAGTACTACTATTTAACAAATATATAGGCTAACACTTCCTTTCCTTGGTGAATCGAGACAATATATGAGACATCAAATACAGCTGGAAAGAAACAAATTAATTAGAAAGATAGAGGGCCACATAAGGGAGATGGAATGAGTCCAGTAATAATGCAATATTTGCTCTCTATACTCTCTAATGTCCTTACTTCCCGGATCATTCCACTGGGATATAAAAATGTGTCTAATAAATATTTTTGAATGGCATGTATTGATTCAAAGGCAAAAGCTTTAGAATACATGATTGTATACTTTTTTAAATCACCTCATTTTTTTCCCATAACAATAGCACTTTATTTTTGTTCGACATTAACACCTTTTGACACGATAACTAAGTCAATATAGTTATCATGGTAACATCAATGATACATAACAATGTTAAACAGTTCATAGAAATTAATTTTGGGTACTTATGACAAGAGACATAAAAAACAAATCACTTCAACAATATTAAGCCAAATGATGTTATTGATCAAAGGAATGCCACCTTTCATAAAATTATAACACAAAAATAGACCTATAATATAGAAAAATACTAGCTGGATAAATCAATTAGTCCTGCAAAAGTTGTCAAAATAGTTCTCTAACATGCATAATGTAATAGAGGCTCTTTGTCTCAGTGTTAGAAGCAAAGTAATCTGTACCTCTCTTCCCTACAAGTTAAGTTTCCTCTTATTGCCTTTTATTTCAACTATTGTATCCCTAATATAGAAAGTTCTTGAAGTAAGGACCAATCCTCGATCCCCCCTCTCTCGGGATAATGGAAAAATATAGGAGAAGAAGGGCAGGACGCCAAATTGTTTGAGCAGCAAGGCTAATTCCTTATATGAAGGAACAGAATCATAAAATAGAAATATAACCCAGGGGGTTCACTCCCCTCTACAGCTGATGGAACAAAGAAGACAGGGGCAGGAGGCCCTGGATGGTTTGGTGCAAGGGTAATTCCTTGTATATAAAAAATGAACAAAATTAGATTTAATGTAAAATGTAATGATACCACTAACATTAAATCAAGATAACCTGGAAAGCATATCAATAAAAATAATGTCATCAATCAAATAAATCAACAAATCAGAATTTATTGGCAAAAATATTTTGTTTGATGTCTATTTTTAAAAAGGACACAGAAGTAGTTGTCAATAAACATCTGAGAACTCTGACAAATTACTATTAAGCCTCTAAAAGAAACATAAGATTCAGGTTTTTATGCAAATAAAACACAAAATTCCTGATTTATTACTGCAATTCATTATCAATTAATCTAAGTAGACTACTTCCTATTTTCATAATTCTCACATTTTTCTGTTCAATTAGGAATTTCAGGATATTTTTTTGTAAAGGATAGGAAATAGACTAGAGTGTGGCAATGAGCTGGTAATCATTCAATCAATACTGCCGACAGATGCTAACTCACAGCCAAGAGATGCGGAATAAATCAAGCCAAATGACACTTCATGTTACTTAAATATCATCAGGAACAGGGATGGCACTTCTTGGAAAATTTCTCAAGAATTCAAGGATCTGAAAAGATGAATGATGTAGCATAGCAACAGGGCTTTAAATTATCAAGAAGTACGAGATGATCAGATGCTCCTTCTGAATTTCAGACTGGAAATCATTTCAGGGTGTATGCTCAAGTTGTTATTTAAAATTCATAACATCGATGGATTCCTTGCTTCCAATCATCAATAAAATATGTCCTATGATATTATCTTGGTGAATTACATGATCTTCTAATTCCAAACATTAATTATCATTGGAATGCAATTGCAAAATCTCAATAATGCCTGGTATTTTATCAACAATGTCAGTATCTATATGAAATATATGTTTTGGTAAGTACAAAGCATGTCACCATGACACAATTTTAAAATATGACATTATTCTAAATGTGACATTATTCTAAAGTATGACATTATATCTAAATGTGACATTATTCTAATGTATGACATTATATCTAAATGTGACATTATTCTAAATGTGACATTATTCTAATGTATGACATTATATCTAAATATGACATTGTTCTAAATGTGACATTATTCTAATATATGACATTATATCTAAATGTGACATTATTCTGACAAAATGAGCTCATCAATCTAGCTTAATTTAGTGACATATCTGAATAAACAAATTACAAAACCATACACCCCTCCTGAAGGAATACACTGGTTTAACAATATATGATATGCTATTATGATATGATATGATATTTAAATATGAATAGTTCCTGCCACTATTCCATTCATATTTAAACGAGTTGGCCATAAAATAGTAGGTTAGTCCGGTAGCCAATATGCGTTAGTTGCATTACCGAATACAAGGTAAAATTTGGATTTGGACTGCCCAAAGCCCCAATTAACACTGCAACTGTAATTTAAAGTCAGTTAGCCATTCCATAGCCTGCTCTATCTAATTAGGAAATAGCATATATTCTGTTGTTTTTCTTATTTTAATATGCCGGTTCTCTCCAGCCATAGTTCAATTAAATAGGATTTCTAGTTATTCAAATGCATGGAAAATTCAAAATATGTTCAAAGAAAACATGTCATATGATATCTTTTTGATTTATAATATCCCACAAAATGGCTTATTTTGTGGTAATACGCTGAAGCTTCCATTGTTCTTTGTAATCAAAACAACACAAGAACACATCAATAGTCTCAGAGGCAGAGAAAAACTGGTCCTATGTAATACTCTGAGAGACAAGCTACAAAACACTGTCATTGTCTTAAAATGAAAAATGGAGTCTTAAAGAGAATGCAGAAACGACAGAATGTAGTAATCAGTGACAAGGGTAACAGTGTAACACTCTAAATTACATAGCACTGCAATAGAATTAGATACAGAATACTGACATACACTTCACACTGGCGGATCTGGGGCCCAGCCCCCCCCCCCCCACCCCCTTGGGTGGGCTCAGAAAAAAAATTTAGGGGCCCAATTAATGGATCTTTAAAGGGATAAAAAGGCCTTAAGGCTATATTTTTTTAATTTTAGGCCAAATTATCATGAAAACCTTTTGGTTTCAGTGGCCCAACATTTTTTTCATACTTCAAATATGCCCCCCCCCCCTTGTTGGGTCCCAGATCGGCCCCTGCTTCTTTTAGATTTTACATTGAAACTATAACATTCAGCTATTACAGCTTGCTCTCTATGGAATAGTCCTCAAATACCATGATGTATATCTTTCTAAAAACATCAAAAGAAACAATTAGAGATGTCTACTATTGAGGTACAAATTACTGAAAGGTCTAATAGAGCAGTTCTGGTGAATATAATTTGAGCCAAGTAATGTAATTGAAGTCAGAATGAATCAGTTTGTATAGTAACCCCGTCTTATACTAATGATTATCTCTCAACAGTGATCAACTTACAACCTGACAATTTGTAGATTTCACAAATGGCTGAAATGTACAATTGGCTGAAATGTTCAGTAACCTTCTATAGTTTGACAGTAATGTTATTTCACCTTGTCAAACTTTATCATATGAATTATTATGTATTAAGTATTATGCATATCTGAAAGAATTTCTATATTCGTAGTTTCCTCTTCAAAAGAGGAGATGCGAAAGATTTTCCTTATTAGGTCAAAATGTTCCCCATGATGCATTTTGTGGAGGAACAAATTCATACTTCCTTGATTTCCCCCATAGGTTAAACATGGGGATTTTCACATCTATATTTCAATCGATATATTAGTTCATATTCCCATACGGGAGTACAGAAAAAATTATCAGAAACGATTGATAGGAGTTAATATAACAGATTTTTTTTTTCATTGTATTGATTCATAGCTTGGTGAAAACAATGATTGAAAAGTGAGAAAATATTCTAGATGAACTTTCAGATACGCTTTAAAATTATATTTAACACATACTAAGGAGCCATTGGTATATGTCTGCCTTAGGGGGCCCCATACTTTTGGGACACCCTGTATATTTAGCATAGATTATAGAAAATGAAAGTCCATCAAACCCAAAACAAAGCAATCGATTCAAAGGACCATAGTGTAATATTATATGGAAAACAACATTTATATTTTAGATATAAAATTGTGTTTATTTCAGTTTTATGTGCAATAAACCCAGGTCTCTTGTAGTTTGATACTTCTCTATCTAATCATGTTATATTCGAAAACAACAAGAGGCAAATAAAACTGGATTTATCTGAAATAAACCTATGTTTTGTATCTCAAGTACACAATTTGTTGATATTGGGAAATAAAAGTACATCAACATATTTACAAAAAATAAAA